GGTTTAGATGGAGCTGGTAATAACCCCAATATCGTTGCAGAGATCGTGATGAGGTCTGTGCCAATGGTCTGTGTGTAGAATGATGGCAATGGTCCCAGGGGCTGCACGAGAAATAGGCGAGAGATGACAAGAAGAAGTCAAAAAAGAGGAGGCAGATGATCCCAATGATCCCCATCGAATCCCTCAAATCGGACACCACTAAGCCCAAACAGGCAACTCAGCGGACATAAGCGAACTTCGCAAACTTCCTCTCCAGCTTTGTTTCTGCATCGATCCGTGCGGAATCTTTTCTCCCTGCCATCAACCGCTACAAATGATCATCCTCGTGCTCGAGCGCTGTACTTATGCTAAAACGGTATATGGAGATTTCAAATCCAGGTAATAATTGCCCCGAGGCAGCTTTTTCCACCTTTGACGGTCTAGACCCTTCACCCAATCTGTACCTATACGGGATACCACAGTACAATTCGGATCTTCACCTCGGGCATCGACCGAAGATCACTGAACAATAGTACATACTAGTTGCTGAGATCGATATTACGACCACCTCTAGGCAGCTTGAAGGGAAAGGACACGACCTTTCGATCGAGATGGGGATCGTCGTGGTCTCTGGTATTCGTCCGTCTGATGTCCCCGCGTCTTCCGTCCACAAGAATGCCATATCCTATTCTATACGAAAACAAAGGTCGCACTATTGTTCTGTTTGATAGTCCTTCCTCTATCGAGCACGGTCAGTCTACGTCACATTACTTGAAAAGTTGTCCTGCGCTTGAGAGTCCTTACCCCAGCACCGAACCAAAAGGCATCAAAAGAGATGCCGCCATTGACAAGATACCCATCAATGAGCGGGACTACCACAACTCGCTTCAGGATCAGATCGCTTCGGCTCTGACCGAAATAGACCAACATGTATCCAGTGATGGCGGATCTTGGTGCAAGAATCGTGGCGCTTTACTATCACAACAAGATGGGGTATTACTAGTGTCTGGCCATAACGCAGACCGGCACACCGCTCCAACCTATCCAACTGTGTGCACCGACCATATTTCAACTACTAGTATAGTGCCACTTATACTGTCAACCACTGAACTGCGCAACAAGTTGCCTTCCCAAAACAGTATCCACGCTATTGTCGTGCACAACCCGAGAATACATCTTGCCATTGTAGAGACAGTCGATGGAGGAGCCTTCTATATTCCACCCCGGGCTACATTCATCCGATCAACTTTGAAACTGGGACAACAGGCCTTCTTGGCCTGTCAAAAGCACACGCTTTTGAACACGAGGTTCGATCTTATCCTACTGGACCCGCCATGGTCTAATCGTTCTGTCCGCCATTCAGGCGTATATCGGACATCTGAAGGCCAACTAGTCGACCCATTCCAGCAAGCAGTGGATGTTGTCAGGACAGCTCTTGCTCCAAAAGGACTTGTCGCTATTTGGATCACTAACAAGGCCTCGATCAAGAGTGCTGTGTGTGCAACCTTCCATGCTCTAGGATATCACCTTTTTGAGGAGTGGGTTTGGATCAAAACAACGGCCCATGGCGTTCCAGTCAGCCCGCTCGACGGGATATGGCGAAGGCCGTATGAGGTTCTTCTGCTGTTTCGAGAAGAACCACTTTCCCAGCCACCCCGACGACGAGTCATTGCTGCGGTGCCTGATCTTCATTCTAGAAAGCCATGCTTGAAACCTCTTCTGGAAGACCTTCTACCTAGTGACTACAATGCACTAGAATTGTTTGCGAGGAACTTAACTGCTGGTTGGTGGTCTTGGGGTGATGAAGTCCTCAAATTTCAGCATGAAAGTCAGTGGACAGCTTGACGCAGCATAAGGGAGCATTATGCGCTTTGTCGTGTCGTCATGTTGAATTCACATGTATGCCAAAGCTCAAGGTCTACCTACCTCTTGGTACACAATATTTGAGAAACCACCATAGTAAACCCGTTCAACCGATGTTCTCTTTGCCCGCTCTCTGGCAAGTTCCGGACCCAGTCCTGTATTTTGATCTGGGTCTAGACCTCCTCAGACCTTGCGTCAGCTGCTTATGGCCTTCTTACCATCCTCTGTATCGTTAGCTTCGGCCGTATCGTTGCTCGAAACACAATCGATCGATCCTCTTGAACATGTCGTGACGTTGAAAGCGAACCTCTGCGAAGTCGATAGTAGTCCGAAGCGTCCACGGCTTTGTGACCCCTCTTGTCCGTGGCATCTGCTAGAGAGAGTCTTGTCTCGGTAAGGTGTCTGCTACTAAGATCACGCCCTGCGCGTGATGACAGCTATTCAGATTGCCAAGTAGTTTGAGGTAGGAGTAAAGCTGTAGGCATGCCGATGCAAATTAGACACTACCGCAGTACTCGTACCTGTTAGCCGGCCCCAGGCTGCATGCGCCGTCACGGGCAGCCGCCGCAGCCGGTATTCCGCGAATCAGGATGCCTTGGTGCCTGAAACCAGGGAAAGCGCCCGCAGTTGACTCAATTGGTCCTGTTGCCTCACTCAGCCTCGGCCGCCTCTAATCATCAATTTCTCTAGGTAAACAGCATTGTGTCTCCATTGTGTCAAGGTAGCAACCGATTTCAGCAACCCTCCACTCCAGCAACACAAAATGGCAGACGTAGACGTCCCGGTGTCGAGCAAGGCATTCGTGCCCCTCGGTATGGCACACTCGTCTCTGCTGGCAGTGCATGAACGTTCTAACAAAGCCTTCAGAAAACAACCCCGAAGTAATGACCAACCTAGTCCGTCAACTCGGCCTCTCACCAACCCTCCAATTTCACGACGTCTACTCCCTTACAGAGCCCAGCCTATTAGCCTTCCTCCCTCGGCCCGCCCTCGCACTCCTTCTCGTCTTCCCCGTCACCGACACATACGAGAAATTCCGAGAAGAAGAAGACGCCCCACGCCAGGACTACGCCGGCTCCGGGCAAGACGAGGAAGTCGTGTGGTTCAAGCAGACGATACGTAATGCCTGCGGGCTCATCGGCTTACTACATTCAGTCACCAACGGAGGTGCACGGGAGCAAATTACGGAAGGAAGTGATCTGGATCATCTGCTGAAGAAGGCCATCCCGTTGAAACCGAATGACCGTGCAGACCTGCTGTACAAGAGTCAAGCACTGGAGTCAGCACATGCGACGGCTGCGGCGAAAGGCGACACGACAGCTCCCGAGGCCGAGGCGAGTGTGGACCTGCACTATGTGGCGTTCGTGAAAGACAAAGACGGAGATCTATGGGAGTTGGATGGGCGCAGAAAAGGACCGTTGAAGAGAGGCCATCTCGGTCCAGAAGACGACGTACTCAGCGAGAAGGGTCAGGAGTTAGGCGTACAAGCGTTTCTAAAGAGAGAAGAACAGGCTGGTGGTGGTGAGCTGCGCTTCAGTGTGGTTATGTTGGGTCCTAGCCTTGAATGAGCCTGCCATAGCACCTCTGGACGATGGATTCGGTGCTGGCGCACTGCGTGGACCTCGCGGGCAATGAGCTACGACTGAACGCAATGCAACGAGATTGATGACGGAGTAACAGATCATATTGGGATGGCAGGCTATCCAAATTAACTGGCTCCCATCCCACCTAGAGGACGAGATTCGTCCATATCTTCACGTTCTTTGGCCTCCTCGACCTCAGCCTCTATCTTGGTAGGCACGCCCTCATCAGAGTCTTCCGGCTCTCTCTCCTCTGCAGAGTCTTTGGGTTTGTCCTGGTTGTCCAACTCCTTGGACTCGCCTTGATCGTGCGAATCCTCAGCAGCTTGCGCTCGCAGTCTTTCAATGGCCGACTCCGCTTGGGCATTGGCGCGCTCTTCTTTTCTTTGCCGTCTTGTATTCCGTACATCCCAAAGACCTTCAAGGTCCATCTCCACCCTCTTCTCCTCCGTGAACATCTGAACCACGATCCGTGGTGAGTTTGTCCTACTTCCGAACCCGATATAGTCGGTTGCTGGGTTTTCGTATTCCTCCTCTTCGTCCTCCTCGACATCCTCCGACAACTCTTCGGCAGCAGCAGTGGTGGAATCAGCTTCGGCCTCGTCCGGCAACACCGCGTCGTCAATCAGTCCCATATTGACGCAGATCCAGCCTGTCGTGATACCATCATCGGCACTCTGCATGGCAACTGTATTGCCTACGCTTTGGGCCAATTTCATCTTCCTTGCTTTTCTCCTCAACTTCATTTTGAGTTCGTTCCGTCCCAACAAACCATCCGCATACGGCCTGAGCTTATACTCCTTTCGTGCCCATCGACAAAATCGGTCCGCCGAGACATTGAGATGTTTTACGCTGCGGGCAGTGCCGATGATCATGAGTAGATTTGCGCCCAGAGCCGGTGGAGGATCCATGTTCCGCAAGTCCAATAGCACAAGGTTGTCTAGGCCAATCTGGACGGACAGATGTTCGAGGACTGGGTGTAGAATGATGGGAGGATCAACTGGAAGGGGTGGGATTTCTTGTAGAGCGAGGAGTGGGGAGACAGGAGCAGGAGGAGCGGGTTCCTCGACCTGTAGGTACCATGGTATAGGTTCAGGAGATGGTATTGAGGGTGTATGTTCAAGGGATTGCCTTAGTGGTGCGAGACGATTGAAGCCTCTGGATTGCTGGGGTTGACGGAGTGGCTGTCGAGGTGCATGCTTTGGGATGGAGATCGCAGCAAGTGATGTGAGTGCTTCGAGGATGGAGGAGCGGCACGCGGTGCATCGCACCAATGATCGATTCATTTTATCTGTAGTCCTTTTGATTCTATACTGCTGCAAGATTGTAATGGAGAATCAAGATCATGATGCGATACCAAAAAAGATGCAGACGCCCTGAAGTCATTGACCCTTGCCAAGTCTCTGGGCCGATGTTGGCCCGAACGGCCCAGATGTGATAGTGATAACAAGTGCGCGCATATGCGAGGCAACTGCGACCAGGTGGCCGCAGGAGGGCGCCTGAACTCCAAAAAATATACAAAAAGTCCAAAACTTCGTATCATCGATGTTTTCTTCAACTCTTCATCGAAGAAACAAAAACAATCGACAGTACGGATTCGCTGGTGGTCACCCACCCAACTACTAACGTACCGGCACATGGCTTAAGTACGGCTGAGCGAACGGGAAGCCCTGTTTTCCATGTCCTATGGCCGATTGCGAGGAGAAGTGATGATTTACAAAATATATCCTCAATTTTAACACCTAGGTTTGACTGGAGCGGCCTATTCGAAGCCATGTGCCGGTACGTTGCCTATCGTGGAGTCCCATCTCATCTTAGAACTCTACATGTTCGAACGTTGAGAAAAGTCTACGTAACCGATGCCTTTGACGAATGTCGCCAGCCACGGACCTTGATCCTTCTCGGAAAGCTCCATATAAAACTTCCCATGTGCCTCTCCATCAATAGCACGGTACACAGCAGCACCATCAGCCTTGCGCTCATCTGCGTAATAGAAGCTGTCCTGGTTAGCCTTTGGCCGTAACTCGGGACATGGCATGGACTACCTGTATCCGCGGTCCGCGTAGACTGACGCTGCCGTCTGGATCATGTGCGCTGTAGCGCTCTTTCCCATTCCCGCACTCATCAACGCTGGAATTGGCTGAGAATTCGTTACATTTCCAGTAAAGATAAAGGTCCGGCTTGCGTCCTTTGGCAACGTCTCGAAGGACTTGACGGCTTTTTTTGCTGCAACGAGAGCGCTGAAGGTATTGACATTCATATCACGGATGGCATCCTTGAGAGAAATCTCCAATGGATCCTGATTGTTCACGAACGCGGCCGCGGCGCCTGTCTCCGTCAGCATCGAAGGATAGCAACGAACAGCCTCAGTGACGAACCGTTGTAGACAACTACGCTTGGATGGCCTAAGTTGCTTGCGCACGGTTTCGAAAACTGCTGAAACGCTTCCGGGATCCTCCAGGTCGGCCTGGATGTGGAGTCGCTTGTCGCTTGAGTCTGCCGTAACTGTCCGCGACACGGTTGCTATCCTGTACCCTCTGGCAGAGAAGGCTTTGACGACGGCGGCTCCCACGTTTTGACCGGCGCCAAAGACGAGGGCGACTGGCAATGATGAGGGCATAGTAGTGCGTTGCACAAGAATCTTAAGGAAAAGAAAGCTGGGGGAGGACGACTTCGAACTATTCGCACAATGTGACCTCTTTGCAAACAATGATGCCGAGTCCTGGAGCTATTACGACTTTATTCCACATGACAAAGATCCCTTTATACTTCTTGCTTCGATATTAAAATTCCCAATAGTTCTGGCTGGTAAAGGCATTGCTTAGCAATCGCGTTTCTTCCACCTTTAATATCTGCCCGAGACTCGGAGAAAGTTGCCTCACTTTACATAACCCTCCCCCAACACCATTCGACAGTATCAGCGAAGACACCAGATATGAGTGGATCAATGGTATTTCGCAAATACTTTCCAGTGATTACAGTGTAGATAAGCGGATATCTCTCACTTCTAGGCATGTCGCGATGGCCCGCCATGGGTATAAGAGGATGGACAGCATGCCCATCTGTCGACGCATTACCACAACCAAAGAAACTGAGTAACACGATCTATATTATCCTACACCTCTTCAACACTCTATACTGTCCACTTGTCGCTGCCTGAGATCAACAAGTCTGAAAATGGTGTCCTGGGCAATCACTGGCGCAACGCGAGGCATCGGCGTAAGCTTCCTCAGATGAACACCCCATCTTCACATGCTAACAAGAGCATCTTTGCAGCTCGGCTTCGTCGATAATCTTGTGAGTCTACCACTACAGTTATACTCCTGGCAAAGGTATGCCGCTGACTGCGCCGCCAAAGTCTGTCGATCCGAAGAACCAAGTGATTGCCATCATTCGAAGTCGAGCAACTGCCGGGCCACTTGAGGAGCTTGCTGCAAAGCGCAAAAACATTCACATTGTAGTGACCGATATCTCCGACCCGAAGAAATTGGATCAGGCTGCCGCTGAAGTCTCTGAAGTCACGGGCGGTTCGCTTGATGTCTTGATTCTCAACGCTGGCTCCGCAGGGCCAGAGACCAGTGTGTTACCGCCGAGTGCTTTGTGGGTGAACGGGCTTGAATGCGTTTGAGTGTTCGAAGTGCTGACACAGTGCAGTCATGGCAAGGAGGACGCCCTCGAGAAGGAGATCAATGAGAACGTATGATCCTTCAGCTAGCTCTCGTCCGGCCCAGTAAGAGCTGACAGAACACAGGTGAAGAATAACCTGCTCAGCAACATGTTTGTCATTAACTGCTTCCTCGATCTCGTTCGTAACGGCAAAGAGAAGAAGATCATATTCATTTCCAGTCAGAGTGGAGACGTGGAGTTCACCCGTATCACTGGCTTTGCGAATGTGCTGGGATATTCTGCCGCCAAAGCTGGCATGAACCTCGTCATCAGCAAGTACGCGGCTGAATTGGCCCAGGAGGGCATCAAGACACTATCTTTGAGTCCAGGATGGGTGGACACAGATGCTGGTTAGTCAGCACGCAAGGCGAATCGTGTCGAAACAAATGACTGACTCAGACCAGCGAAAGCCGTCACAGGCGACCCAGAAGTACGTAAATTCGTGCTAACTGCGTTTCGAAAGCTCAACCCGAACGTCAATGGACCGGCATCGGTAAATGAATCAGTCACCAATCAGCTTCAGGTGATTCAGAGCTTGACGGAAGCCACCAGTGGGAAATTTTTGACACATCACGGAAACAGTGATGAGTGGTTCTAGCCAAGAAGCTGAATGGACCTATCTTGGTGATGGTATATTGAAACAGTGGATGGAAATGATGGGACCATATCCTAGACTCAGGCAAATGGTGGTATGAACGGAACTCCAGCAACAACCGCGTCGAAAATTGTCAGATAGTCGACTTGATTCTCCGTATTGAGATCATGCTGATTCCACACGACCTCAGCCATATGCTGAATAAGATGAATGTGACTGGATCTTCGTCTTCGGTCTTGCCGACTTTGTTCAAAGACATCCAGGATAGCGAGGCGCTGATCGTCGCCAACTGCCTCGCAGGCGATAATGAACAGTGGCCACGCGTTCTGGCATGTTATCATCTTGGTCAACAGCAATATTCCCTCTCTGACAAGTCGCCTATGACGAAATTCTGTTCCTGAAACAGAATGGACCGCCCGATTGACATAGATCAAGCATGCGAGTCGATGAAGATCGGCGACCATAGTATTCCGGTCTACTGGGGTCGCAGATGGTACGTGAATTGGGCCACAATCTCCTACTTTCCTGTAGATGTTCTCTTCTAGCACCTTCGTGCGCTCCATCCCAACAATCGCGAAATTTATGTCGGAGGGGTCCGTGACTAGAGCTCGTCTACATGTCTGTACAACGAGCTGGAGCACATCAATTGGACAGCCGATGTTGTCTTCTACCTGCCGCAGTATTAGATGATGCCGGAGAAAGTGTAACAGGCTTCCATTCACCTTTGGAGGGCTTCCATCAATGGCTCTGGGTGATCTTGGTATTGGAACAAAGCCACAACCTTCGTAAGGCACCTTCCAATGCCTGACTGTGAATTCGGCAAGGACCTCATGATAATAAATCCAGTCAAGGAAGACCGAATATTCTTGCCGAACGAGCTTTTGGATTGCTGGTGATTTGTTTATAAGTTTCTTCACTGCGCATAGATATATTACCCAGATCCCTTTCGAGGTTGATTCGAGTGAAAGCTGTGATCGTTAGTCGACCATGGCAAGCCCCCGGATCGGATCATACTACCTCATAATGATACAAAAGCATCGTTGCCATCAAGTTCTGAAGCAGCGTCTTCTCGTCGAGCTTGTTGGCTGACTCTTTCACTGTGATTGACTCTCTAACTGAGGATATGACAAGACGCTTGTAGCGAAAGCTCTTCAAGCTACCGTGAAGCTGTAGCGATGCGAGAGCAAAGACGCCTTGTAGGACTGGATTGGTTGCATCGGATGGATTTGAGAAGGCGATCCGCAAGATAAATTTTGCCAAAACCTCCTCGTCGGTAGGTCCCAGTATCAGTGATCTTGATTCGTTGACTGAGATGTTTTGGTCAGTATGATGATTGGGTCGGACGGTCACCCTACATACAGAACCCCAGTAAATACGACTCTTCTCCGTTAATGACGGTGGGCGATAGATAGGTTGGGCAAGGGACTTTCATGGTCCGAAGGTAACGTTTGCGACCTACAGGTACTGCCGTTACTATCAGCAATTTGACAGTGTGTCGGAGGCGATTCTGACCAGCAATCCTTCTGTTCTCTAGCTCCTCCGACAGCGATATGTCCCAGGAAGATGTATTCAAGAACCCCTTGACATTTGGTTGAAGAGTATTCGCTGCGCCGCACGTCTCTCGCCAGATGATTGCTCGTTTTCTGTCGCCATCTCGAGGCCAGGACAGCTGGATGCCATTACCTTGACAGACGCGCCGCGCCTTCGTGCAATTGCCACACCTCGGCCAACGCGAGTCACATCGAACTTTGCGCTCTGAGTAGAGATCAGCCAATTGACATTCGTAGGGAAGCTTATCTATTCTTGATGTGTTTACCTCTGCAAGTCCAACACCCTTTTATTCCCATGGCGAGATCCTCGTTGGCCAAATCCCCATGCTCATCCTCCAAATCGTAGAGACTGTTGGACTCTTGATACAGCCTAAAGTCGATATGGGTTCAACTTGAGTTCATGATGCGCCGTGCATCTCCTCTGGTGCGATGTTTCTATGCCGACGTAGAGTGTTCTCATGATGTTATTTGACCCCAGTCTGTGCCCATCATATCAGGCCAACGTGAGGAGAGGATTGGTCAGGCCCCACTAGTGGGAGTTGGGGGGACGCCAAGTCTCGGAGAAAGTTGCCTATGATGATTAAGCGAACAACACCTACGCCTCACCACACTCACCCGCCCTGGTCCGGGAAGCCACCCACGACTCCATTGCCACAGCACGAGTTAATGTCGAGATCGAGTGATCGACTATATGACGACTTACCAAACAGCTTGACGCTTTCTTCCAGGGCAACACTGGATGTTTCAATAACGCCAGTATGGGTACACTGCTCACAGGACCACGGGAACGTGTCCTCGAGGCTCGTCCCACGATCCGGGACCCCTGAGCTCATTCTCATTCGTTCCAAAACAGGTAGCCGCCGGGTCTTCCGCCGGCTTCTTT